GGCTCAAGTTAGGTTTATAGGCTTATTTTCATCCCTATATAAGTCAGAAGAACCTGTGAAGAACCATGGAGCTTTAATCGAAAAAATCCCAGCATAAAGGTTTTGAAGGGTGCAGCCCGTGCTGCAGCCCGTTGGCACATCAGGTGTGGCAACAGGACGGGTTTCTTCTACCAGACCATAAAGGAAATCGGCGTTTCGGGAGAAGTGCTTAAAAGATCTCGGGAGAGGTCGACCGCCGTTTGAAGGGAGTTCAACATTGGAGGAAGTCCAAAAGTGCAGATGGAGGAATTGCTTCGATTATCAACAAGTTCGAGTCGTGTGCAAGAACGGCGTATAACATAAAGAGGGAGTCTTTAGTGTTTTTATTAAGTCCAATATTGTACACTTAAATCTGAACTAGTTTGCAAGTCCTCGTGGATGTAGTAGGGTACATTTGTATCCGAACCACATTAAATTCTTGTGTTATTTATTCTGCTTTTAGTAGGTTAATTACTGTGACAACACAAGAATTCTGTTACCACACCTAATGTCGTAACACGTAATCTGTCTCAACAGATGATAGATATTCATAGGCATTTAAAATCAACAGATTCAATTTGCATTCGAAAGATGCTGAAATTCTACAACTTCCATAGTTTGTCCTTTCTAGATTTTATTTGGATCATTGTAAAAAAAATCTTTGATCGAACTGACAGTAATATTGTGTGTCTTACTATGGGAAATCGATGCACGTAACGCAGCGGAAATATTTGAAAACGATAACGATTTATCATACAAACGTACATAATAGGTTAATTGCATATGAAGTTAAATCGGACATATAAGCAGGTAGGAAATTCGAAATAAATTAACATACGATTTTGAATCACACAAATTGACAAGCAATTTATTGCAAACACATTATCGTATAACATTGATTTGCGAAGGTCGGAGCTCAGATTCGACGAGTCCAATTCTGGAAGGTAATCTATCCATCAGCAACGAGACGAAGATGGTGGAGACGGCGCGAAGACTTCACAAACAGCAGGACCACCGGTTGTCCTGTCCTCGGCGACGTCGCGTGAGGTGGTTTGTGGGTTTTTTTTTCATCTAAAAGAGTGGAGGTCCATAAATAATTACAATCTATGAGGTTTAGGTGAAATTAATCATTGAGGTTAAAATTAATATTCACCAATTCTGATAAAATTGATATTTCACCAATTTTGTTTGGGTATATAGAGAAACAGAAAACCATGTAAATGGGGAGGGTTATACGACTTTGTTTTTCTTCTAGAAGGGGAAGTACTATAACTTCACTAGGTTTCCTCGGGCATCTCCAACCATAGGCACTTTGAGATAGTAAAAGCAATAATTTAGCAAATATAGCTTTTGAGGAAGAAAAAACTCACTACAAAGGAAGATATATAA